CTCCCCCGTTGCAGATGTCCACAGACAATGGTGGAGTAGTGGTGGCATCACCCCCCATAATTGCATGCAGCTCACAGTAGAAGCGGCATGCATGGGGCTGTGACCCAGAGCACCTGTTTGCCTCCCTGGCTTTTTGGTACGCTTGCCTGAGCTCCTTGATTTTTGTACGACACTGCTCTGTGTCCCTGGAGTAGACTCTTTCTGATATGGCCCTGGAGACTTTAGTGTATGTATTTGCCTTCCTTTTTTTGGAACTTAGTTCTGCCATAACAGATTTGTCTCCCTAACATGCAATGAGATCCAGTACCTCCCCTTCGGACCACGGTGGAGCTCATCTGCAAATCTGGGACTGCGTGATCTCTTGTGATGGTGGACTCTGCATGGTCGCCTGTGATGCTAGACTGTGCTGATGGACACCTGTGCTGATGGTGACCAAACAGGAAATGAAATTCAAAAGTTCCCGGGGCTTTTCCTGCCCACCTGGCTAGTGCATTGGAGTTGAGAGTGTTGTCCAGAGCGGCCACAAGGGAGCATTCTGGGATAGCTCCCGGAGGCCAATAACGTCGAATTGCATCCACAATACCTTTAACCCAGGATTGCGATCTCGATTTAAGTGCTACTTCACTTGCCGAGGTGGAGTACAGAAATTGGAGTAAAGAGCCCTTTAAATAAAAAAAAAACGGTTTGGTCGTGTGGACGGAATCCTTTTTTTTTCCAAATTAACTCGGCTAATTCAGAAATAACCCACTACTTTAGACCAGGCCTAAGTGATCTGAAATTGACACGCTTACTGACATTGTCCTGAAATTTGCTGGGCCTCACCAGTAATAAGGGCAGGGTTAGTGGGCCTTTTTGGTGTTCTTTCACCAAGGTGCTCCTGAGACATAGCCCTACTGTTAGAGCCAATTGTTTGACTATTATGGTTCAATACTTCATATGATCAAGAGACCAAATAACCAAACTTCACCAAATGTATTGCCTAAAGACAAAACAGTGCACTACAGAAAAGAGACACCCATACCCTACTTCTGGGATGCAATTCTTATCTTGCAGTTTACTCACCTTAAACAGAAGGTGTGCTTCAAAAATACACCGCAAACTCACTTATATTTATACTGTGGCTGTTTACAAGTGGAAAAGCTCTTTATACATCACCTAAGATCCAACCCACCAGTTCCTTGACTTCTTGTTCTGTATCTTTTTTATCCCTGTTTTGGAGACCACATTCCAAACCATGTGGGTGAAGAGGCACAGCCTAACCAGTGCTAGGACACACCATTCATGTATCCTGGCTTTGATGAGCTTCTTATTTCCTATTGTGAACGCTAACTTCAGTTTTGCAAACTTTGGTGGGATATTTGATATTGGTGAACAGAACTGTGTGAGAAGCATAATACGTTCAGTTAAGTTCCCAAAACATATACTGTGTGTATATCTATATAATATATAGTTTTTTGTCCGGTGAAAAAAATTTCCCTGGAACCTAACCCCCCTATTTACATTAATTCTTATGGGGAAATTGGATTCGCTTAACATCGTTTCACTTAAAGTCGCATTTTTCAGGAACATAACTACAATGTTAAGTGAGGAGTTACTGTATTAGCTAACAGGTCCAATAAAAAAGTCACATGACATCAAAATATTCTGGTTCTTATTACATTTTTGTGCACATGTGGGCTCTGATATCTTTTTTACATCTGAAACCCACTAAGTTAATGTATTTACATATTAATTAATTAATTAATTATTATTATATAGTAAACTCCTCAATAAGTGTCCAGTCAATGCTTTGGGCATCTTTGACAATGTTTTAAAAATACTTGTGTGAAGAAACAGACCTGAGCACTATCCCAGGAGCAAATAAAATAACTCAGCAGCAACACAATCAGAGAAAACATTGAATAATGAAGGTGTTGATCTTGCTGTGTGGTTAAGTTTACACAATGGGAGTAGTTCCACTGACTTTATGTCAAGCATGTTTTTAAGACACTTCAGAGGCCTAAATAAATCGTCTAAGAAACAGCAGACACAGGGCGGATTCCTACCTGATTCCATCTTGTGAACATAAAAAGTAAGGAAGAAAACAATAAAACCAGGCAGAGGGGAGCTGGCTCTGGAGCTGTGGCAGAATGAGAGAATCTTCATCTTCATTGTAACTTGATCTAAGCAACAGGAAGGAGGAGGGGGGAAAAACCTCCTCATAGTGAGCATAACACTGACTAACATTAAATCATTAAAGTCAGCCATTAAAGAGGACCATTAAATAAAAAAGGAATAAATACATTGTTCAGTGAACTCTTTCATCATAAAACCACCTCTGTGAGCAGCAGAAGCTCTGTTAATGGGAGAAGCTCTCCCGCTGACATAGTGCTGTGCACAATGGCGCTTATGTCCGTGTAACTTATGTCAGTTGGTCTATTCACACCCCTGAGCAACATAAATTCTGCCGACTTCAGCTGTAGGCTGGACACAGCCTCAGGCGCTTCTCTTTGGGAGAGGAGCATAGTTCAGGATACACCCCTATTGTTAGCATCTCCCATCTGCCTGTTTAGGTGGCTCCCCACCTAGCATGCTGGCTCTTGTTGATGGCATTGTAAGGCACCTGCCTGTCTCCATTCATCGTGCCGGGAGACTAGGCTCCTAAATCAGGCTGTGTGGGTTGCAGTGTTCTTCCTGTGATGTTCTAAGCACCTAAAAATGAGGTGCGGTTGATGCTCAGCATTGTAACACCTAAGTCCTTTCATGGATCCCACCCCCAGTCATTTACATTAGAACAGGAGTCGGCAACCTTTCAGAAATGGTGTGACGAGTCTTCATTTATTCACTTTAATGTAAGGTTTCACGTGCCAGTAATACATTTCAATGTTTTTAGAAGGTCTCTTTCTATAAGTCTATAATATATAACTAAACTATTGTTGTATGTAAAGTAAATACGGTTTTTAAAATGTTTAAGAAGCTTCATTTAAAATTAAATTAAAATGCAGAGCCCCCCAGACCAGTAGCCAGGACCCGGGCACTGTGAGTACCACTGAAAATCAGCTCGCATGCCGCCTTTGGCACGCGTGCCATAGGTTGCCTACCTCTGCATTAGAAGCTCACAGAAAGCAAAAATACAGACCTGGTCGAAGGTGGGGTGTTTCCTTTTTCTTACTTTGATCCCATTTTTTAGCTCATGGCCGCCCTAAGAGAAGGGGTGGGGGTTTTTCAATGCAGTAGCAAACACAAGGCAATGATCTCATTATACAGTCCCAGAGGAGATGAGGCAAGTGATGCTTTCACCTCCGTGTAGCTACTCAAGGTGATCATTAACCCTCCCAAACAGCCCCCAGCCCCACAGAATTCACTGAGGTGAAACCACCACTTGCCTTGTCTACACCCAGATTGTACAATGAGAGAGAGAAACCTACACCCTAGTGTAGACAAACCCCCAGAGACTGTATCTAGGAGCAGGTCCCATCCCATGAACCCCCCCCCCCCCCCCCATGGACACCACAGCAATTGCTGATGGGCAGAAAAAATATGAACTGCATAGATCATATCTCTTTAGCCACCTCTGAACAAATTCAGCACCTCTGGAAACAAAGAAGAGACTCAGCACCATGTGTTCAGCCCCCTCTCCACAGAGCCCAGCTGAGGAATTCCTGATTGACATGGCTATAGACAGCACAAGGGACAGAGCGCACGTTGGATAGCAGCATATCACAGTAAAACCCCAGCTCTCATCAGAGGGACATGCTGGTGTAGCCCCTGTTGGTGCTGGGGGGACACAACCAACTAGGGAAGCAAATCCCACAACTCCGCCCTTAACAACTGCAGCTGGAAAATTCAAAAGGAACAAATCAGAATTGTCTTTCATGCTTTATTTACTGTAAATACCATCAGAGTGCAAAGGAGTTGAGAAGCAGCTTTAATACCCCAACAATGGAAAACAGACCCACAGGTTTTGGGAACAGTTATTTGTAATGAAACTAAAATGGCAACAAAGTCAAGGAAGTAACAAATGAAATAAATGAGTGACAGTCTCACCTTCAGTGACGTTTTATAAATCTCTGTCCCTTTTCTTCTCCCTTCTCTGTCATACTGGTCATTTTTACTCACCATTTTTCTAGCACTCATTTCCCATCCCTGTTTATTTCTCTGTGTCTTCCACTCTCCTCTGATCCCTGTCACAGATCATTCCCCCTCATGTTCTTCATTCTTTCCCCGGAGTTTATCCCTTCCCCTCTCGTTGCCTCTGGCTGTTCTCCTCTTCAGAGTGTTTTCCTTGTATATTTAATTTTCACCCTTTCTCCAGGACTCTGTTTATTTTGTTTTACTTTATCTTTTCCTTGTGTTTTCTCTGTTCCCTCTGGTTCAGCCCAGCCTGCCCTCCCCCAACCTGTGACTCTCACAGTGTTGCCAATCCCAGAACTTAGAAATCATGAGTCAGAACCAAAAATCATGAACTTGACCCCACAAAACATGAGGGCTCAAAATAATATATAACGCATCCTGCTTTATCTTCTGATTTTTGAACTCTCCCTGCCCATCCCCCATGCGTGTGACAATTTCAGTGTTACCAGCTCTCCCCTAGTTACAGGTGAAGGTGACTTGGGCCCCTGTGGCAGGAGCTCTGGCTGGGAGACCCCAGTGAGCTCTAATCCCACTGATCTGTATAAAACGCTCCCTGCTGCTGCTGAGCTTCCAGCTTCTCCCCAACCCCCCAAACGCGGATTGATTCATTCTGTGTCCCTGCCACCCCACATCTGCCTGTCCGCAGCCCGGCTGTTAGTTCTGCCCCCTGCCCAGCCCAACATCTGCCCCTCAGGGCCCCTCTGCCCCTCCTGAAGCTACAGGGGTTCTTCCCCCTCCCCTTCCCATCCCTGGGGCTGCAGGGATGGGAAGGATCTTCCCGGGGTCACAGAGATGAGGAGCCAGGGGCTGGGTAGATGGGAGTCCTCCAGAGTCATAAAGACTGGGGTGTGTGAGGCCAGACATGCTAATTTCATGGTCCCCATGTCTCAGGGACACAGTCTGAGCCGGGATCCTGGCCCCACCCGGAGCCAGGGTTGGATTCTCTCCCCAGGGATGGAGCCTGGCGGGAAAGTGAAGATCGGGGCCTCGTCACCAGCATCGATAAATGTCACCTGCCCCCGGTCACAGTCCAGGCAAACCCGGATCCTGCTGGGGGCCCGGCGCTGGGGCAGGGAGGTCACAGGGGACGTGAGAGCCTGGAACTGACCCCCCCACTCCACAGCCCAGATCCCCTCCTCAGGGCTACGACTGATCCATCCCTTCCTCCTCACAGACTCTCTGGCCACCCCCACTGCCCAGTATCCCCCATCCCCCACCTCCACCTCCCAGCAATGTCTCCCCGAGGTGAATCCCTCACAGCCTAGCACACAGGGCTCAGTGTCAAATCTCTCAGGGTTGTCGGGCAGATGCTGTCGTGTGTCTCCCCATCTCACACTTTTCCGATCCTCGGACAAGACAAGCTCTGGATAAGCCGTGTCTGGATCCAGAGTCACGTTCGCTGGGGAGAGAGAGAATCAGAGCATTAGGGGCAGAGCTCAGCCCTGGGGAAGGGTTTGATGGCATCAATGACAGAATCTGCCCCAGCTGGAGAGTGACTCAGGGAATCTTCTTCCTCCAGGATGTACCCATCAGCTCAGATCTCAGCACAGTGCTGAGGGGAGTCATTCCCCTGGCAGTGATGGGTCAGTGAAAGGAACAGTTAGGCCAGGCCTGAGACTCAGAATCTTTCCCCTCCTGCCCCCACTTCTCCCCAGGGAGGGGACTAGAAACTCTGGGAGCCCCAGCAGATGGTACAATTCAGCTCTCTTCCCCCTCCCTATCCTAAATCTCACTGTGACCCAGCTGCCCCTGTGCTGGATTTTGCTATGGGGCCTCCCCACTGCATCCGGCCTGCTCTGAAATGTCACAGCTCGGACCAGGGCCAGCTTTAGGCCGATTTGCCCAATTCCCAGGAATCGGGCCCCGCGCATAAGATGGCCCCACGCCCTGGCCAGAGCTCTGGCCGGAGCGCGGCATGCCCCGTGGCCCCGCAACCCTGGCTGGAGTGCGGCCCAATTCCTGGGGTTGGGGCTTCCCTGCCCCCAGGAATCGGGCCCCGCTCTTGCTAAAGCCGGCCCTGAGCCGGACAGCAACAGGCCACACGGTACCAAGATTGAACATTCACTTCTCAGCAGCAGTCACAGCACAAAAGTACATTAGCATGAGGCAGGGAGCGAGGGGTTAACACAAGGGAAGGGGGTTCATGGTGGAATGAGGCAGAAGCTACAAGTGTGGTGGGGAGCAGGGGCGAATTAGGGTTTTGTGCAGCCCAGGGCCACAGCAAGTGGGGAACCCTCCCCACACCTTCTGCCTGCAGTCCCCCCACCCCCTCGCGCTTCTGCTAGGGAAATGGGGTCGGGGCACAGGGGCTTGCCCTGCTCTGCCCACCTGCATGGCACTACAGCTGGAGAGTAGGGCAAGCCCCCGCGCCCCGGCCCCATACCCCGGCTGGAGTGCTGGGTGGGTGAAGCGGGGCAACCCCGTCAAGTCCCTGAGCCCTGACCCCACTCTCTGGCAGGAGCGCCGGGCAGGCAGAGCAGGTCGGGGTGCAGAGGCACCCATTTTTCATGGGCCCCCCAATTGGCCAGGGCCCCTGGACACAGGCCCCATTGGTCCAGTGGCTAATACACCACTGGGGCGAGGGGGGGGGGTGTAGAATAGGTGGCTGGTGGAAAGAGGGAGAGGGTCATGCTAGTGATGGGGAGGCTAAAGTGATGTCCTGTTTACCAGAGACGGGAGAATGCTGAGATCATGGTGGATGGAGACAGGAGAAAAGAGACAAGCTCACAGCTCTGATCAAAGGAGCTCCCCAGATGTGCATAATGGAGCCAGAAGAGCCCCTGTCTGTGATCAAGGCTCTGTTCCTCTGCTGGAGACTGGAGCAAGGGTCGCACACAGACACAGTCCCTGCTCATCCCATCAGCGTGGGGTCATTGCAGAGCTCCTGGCTTTCTTCAGAGGGGAAAAGATGAAGAAAGAAACAGAGAGAAATTGGAGGTCGGCCATCAGCGCAGGGAGATAAAACAAACTCCCCCTGGAGAAGTGGCTGTGGAGGTGCATGTCCCACTGAATCTGTACAATGAGTGGCAGCTGCTCTCACAGATCTCTGCAGGGCGCAGTGCACATGCAGGCGGTGAAGGGGCAGGAAGAGTAGATGCAATATGCTGTAGATTCAGTATGCTGTGGTAGGACATAGGCACAAACCCTGTCTCACCTTGTGATGCGCCATGAAATGCAGGGTGCTGGGGAGATCTGCCCTGAACTGTCACATCCACTCCCACATTCAAGGAAAAAGAGGCACATTTTGCCTCATGAGAACTGATATTTGGACATTGATAAAATATGATCTTTAATTACCTTCTTCTATAGGTGCCACAGATCTTCTCCACCCTAAAAGCAACCACATGATTAGAGATGAGAGCTGATCTGAACTAGTATTGCATGATTCGATATTGTACAAACTAATACACTGAGGGAAAAAGAAAGTTATAAGTTCATCAGAACCTCCACTGGGTTGCCTGTGTGTCTCTCTCCCAGGGTGGATCTTCACTGCAGAGTTAGCCCAGGATCTTACCTGGCTCTTGCCCCAACCTGTTTATTGCGCAAGCACAAAAACTCTGACTCAGGTTTGGTGGTTCTTTACACCCAGGCTGGCTGGCAAGACTTTGAGTATAGGCTGTAGCCCAGGTACCACTTTAATTCAGGTTGGTTACATGCCCATTTTGCAATGTGGAGGGAGGTTAACCATCTTAGGAGCTGATAGTCCTCCAGTGCCTTCCCACAATTCCTCCCGGGCCATATTTTCTTGGCCATTAGCAACTTTACTACTGTATTGCTTATCAATATTTCAAATTAGCTTTTGGTGTGAAATTCATCCAGTTTAACCTTTCCCCACATTTTATAAAGTTACATTACAAAACAAATCCCCACACCTCCCAAAAGAATTATAATAATAATAAAAAGCAAGCAAACAAAAAAGGTTTCCTATTGCAACAATTTTAAAAATTAAATTTAAAAGCAAACAACTCCACAACAATTAAACAAACTCCCACATGAGACTCCAAAATGGTACAAAAAGTTTTTTTTCCGAGAAAGGATAATAAGACTTACTTATTTCGTTATCTCGTTTGCCTAAAAATTAAAGAGAAATAAATATATATTTTGTTAGACATTTCCCTTTTCTTTTATTTCTCTTTATCATCTATATGACAGTGAAGGCTGAGAGAAATCCACCTCCTCTTCAAGACGTCAGACAAGAGGATCCAGTGGTACCTTCTGATCTTAAACTCTGTGACTTCATGACTCTATTGCTTATCAGTTTTTCAAATTAGCTTTTGGTGTGAAATCTATCCAGTTTAGCACTTCCCCACATTTTACAGAATTACACTAACCCTTCCAAAAAAGAATAATAATAAAAAGCAAGAAAACAAACAAAAAGAGGTTTCATATTGCAACAAAATTGTAAAAGTTAAATTTAAAAGCGAACAACTCCACAACAATTAAACCAGCTCCCACATGAGGATCCCATTAGGTACAAAATACTTCCTGTCAGAGGAAGGATAATGACACTTACCAATTTCTGTATGTAACTTGCCTAAAAATTAAACACAAATACACATATTGTTTGTTTGGAGTTTCCTTTTTCTTATATTTTATTTCTGTTTATCATCGCTACAACAGATAAAACAGAGAGATTATTTTTATTCAGTTGCCTATTAAGGAGGTCAGACTAGACCAGTGGTGCCAAAACTTTTCCTGTTGCCCCCTCCCCCCATTAACAGTAATGGAATCCATGTGTGACCCCTCCTCCCCCCATTACTGCACAGTTGGCTCAGCAGAGGAGCTTGGGCTGAAAGTGGAGCGGGAGGCAGAATTGGGGATGGGGGAGGATCTGGGGCTAGAGGCAGAGCTGGTCTGAGCCCTGGTCTACACTACGAGTTTAGGTCGACTTTAGCAGGGTTAAATCGAATTAAGCCTGGACACGTCCACACGATGAAGCCCTTTCTTTCGACTTAAAGGGCCCTTTAAACCGGTTTCTTTACTCCACCTCCGACGAGGGGATTAGCGCTAAAATCGGCCTTTGCGGGTCGGATTTGGGGTAGTGTGGACGGAATTCGATGTTATTGACCTCCGGGAGCTATCCCACAGTGCTTCATTGTGACCGCTCTGGACAGCACTCTCAACTCAGATGCACTGACCAGGTAGACAGGAAAAGCCCCACGAACTTTTGAATTTCATTTCCTGTTTGCCCAGCGTGGAGAGCACAGCTGACCACGCAGAGCTCATCAGCACAGGTAACCATGATGGAGTCCCAGGATCGCAAAAGAGCTCCAGCATGGACAGAACGGGAGGTACGGGATCTGCTCGCCATATGGGGAGACGAATCAGTGCTAGCTGAACTCCGTAGCAGTAAACGAAATGGCAAAATATTAGAAAAGGTCTCCAAGGCCATGAAGGACAGAGGCCATAACAGGGACGCACAGCAGTGCCGCGTGAAAATTAAGGAGCTAAGGCAAGCCTACCACAAAGCCAGAGAGGCAAACGGAAGGTCTGGGGCAGAGCCGCAAACATGCCGCTTCTATGATGAGCTGCATTCCATTCTAGGGGGTGCAGCCACCACTACCCCAACCGTGTGCTTTGACTCCCTCACTGGAGAAACACGCAACAGGGAAGCGGGTTCGGGGTTCGCGGAAGATGATGACGATGATGAAGACAATGAAGATAGCTCACAGCAAGGAAGCGGAGAAACCGGTTTCCCCAACAGCCAGGATATGTTTATCACCCTGGACCTGGAACCAGTAACCCCCGAACTCACCCAAGGCATGCTCCCAGACCCTGAGGGCACACAAGGGACCTCTGGTGAGTGTACCTTTGTAAATATCACACATGGTTTAAAAGCAAGCGTGTTTAATGATTAATGATTAATTTGCCCTGGCAATCGCGGCCAGTACAGCTACTGGAAAAGTCTGTTAACGTGTATGGGGATGGAGCGGAAATCCTCCAGGGACATCTCCAGAAAGCTCTCCTTCATGTACTCCCAAAGCCTTTGCAAAAGGTTTCTGGGGAGGGCTGCCTTATCCTGTCCGCCATGGTAGGACACTTTACCACGCCAGGCCAGTAGCACGTAGTCTGGAATCGTTGCATAACAAAGCATGGCAGCATATGGTCCTGGTGTTTGCAGGCATGCAGACAACATCCATTCCTTATCTCTCTTTGTTATCCTCAGGAGAGTGATATCATTCACGGTCACCTGGTTGAAATGGGGTGATTTTATTAAGGGGGCATTCAGAGGTGCCCGTTCCTGCTCGGCTGAACAGAAATGTTCCCCGCTGTTAGCCACGCGGTGGGGGGGGAGGGGTAAAGTGATCATCCCAGAGAATTGGGTATGTGTGCGTGGGGGGGGGGGTAGTTGGGTTTGTGCTGCATGTTAACACAGAAACCCCAGCCCCTCCTTTTACATTGCAAACCCATTTTAAATGGCCAACCCAACGGGTGCTTGGTATGGGAAATGAGGGCGCTGCTGTTTGAAACCATTCCCACGTTATGAAGGTTAAAAAAGCCAAAAGACTGTGGCTTACCATGGCTGCCTGCAAGCCGAAATCTGTTGCCTGGCACTGCGTGAGTGATGTCTCACACCAAACCAGCAGGCCCTCCATATAAGAGGAAAAATGCGACCTTGTAATGAAAGCACATGTGCTGTGTAATGTGAACAGCAAAATTTAACGTGAAAGAGTGTACCCATTGTTCTCTAAAATGTGTCTTTTTTAACCACCTCTCCCTTCTCCTCCACCAGCTGCAAATGTTTCTCCTTCGCAGAGGCTAGCAAAGATTAGAAGGAGAAAATGGCAGACTCGGGATGATACGTTCACGGAGCTCCAGATGTCCTCCCACGCTGAAAGAGCACAGCAGAATGCGTGGAGGCAGTCAATGTCAGACTACAGAAAAGCACAATATGAACAAGAGGAGAGGTGGCGGGCTGAATCGCGGGATGAACAGAGCAAGTGGCGGGCTGAAGATGATAGGTGGCATCAGCTTGCAGACAGAAGGCAAGAGTCGATGCTCTGGCTGCTGGAGCATCAAACTGATATGCTCCAGCGTATGGTTGAGCTGCAGGAAAGGCAGCAGGAGCACAGACCGCCGCTACAGCCCCTGTGTAACCAACAGCCCTCCTCCCCAAGTCCCATTGCCTCCTCACCCAGACGCCCAAGAACATGGTGGGGGGGCCTCCGGCCACCCAGTCACTCCACCCCAGATGATTGCCCGCGCATCGGAAGGCTGGCCTTCAATAAGCGTTAAAGTTTTAAAGTTTTAAACTTCAGTGTGTCCTTTTCCTTCCCTCCTCCCCCACCCATTTCGGGTTACCTTGGCAATTATCCCCCTAGTTGTGTGATGAATTAATAAAGAATGCATGAATTTGAAGTAACAATGACTTTATTGCCTCTGCAAGCGGTGCTTGAAGGGGGGAGGGAAGGGTGGGGTGGTTGGTTTACAGGGAAGTAGAGTGAACTGGGTCGGGGGGGCGGAGGGTTCATCAAGGAGAAACAAACAGAAGTTTCACACCGTAGCCTGGCCAGTCAGAAAACTCGTTTTCAAAGCTTCTCTGATGCGCACCGTGCCCTGCTGTACTCTTCTAACCGCCCTGATGTCTGGCTGCGCGTAATCAGCGGCCAGGCGATTTGCCTCAACCTTCCACCCCGCCATAAATGTCTCCCTCTTACTCTCACAGATATTGTGGAGCGCACAGCAAGCAGCAATAACAATGGGGATATTCTTTTCGCTGAGGTCTGAGCGAGTCAGTAAGCTGCGCCAGCGCGCTTTTAAACGTCCAAATTCACATTCCACCACCATTCGGCACTTGCTCAGCCTATAGTTGAAAAGGTCCTGACTACTGTCCAGGCTGCCTGTGTACGGCTTCATGAGCCATGGCATTAAGGGGTAGGCTGGGTCCCCAAGGATCACGATAGGCATTTCAACATCCCCAACAGTTATTTTCTGGTCCGGGAAGAAAGTCCCTTCCTCCAGCTTTTGAAACAGACCAGAGTGCCTGAAGACGCGAGCATCATGTACCTTTCCTGGCCATCCCACGTTGATGTTGGTGAAACGTCCCTTGTGATCCACCAGGGCTTGCAGCACCATGGAAAAGTACCCCTTGCGGTTTATGTACTCGGTGGCTTGGTGCTCCGGTGCCAAGATAGGGATATGGATTCCATCTATCGCCCCACCACAGTTTGGGAATCACATTGCAGCAAAGCCATCCACTATGGCCTGCACGTTTCCCAGAGTCACTACCCTTGATATCACCAGGTCTTTGATTGCCCTGGCAACTTGGATCTCTGCAGCCCCCACAGTACATTTGCCCACTCCAAATTGATTCCCGACTGACCGGTAGCTGTCTGGCGTTGCAAGCTTCCACAGGGCTATCACCACTCGCTTCTCAACTGTGAGGGCTGCTCTCATCCTGGTATTCTGGTGCTTCAGGGCAGGGGAAAGCAAGTCACAAAGTTCCATGAAAGTGCCCTTACGCATGCGAAAGTTTCGCAGCCACTGGGAATCGTCCCAGACCTGCAACACTATGCGGTCCCACCAGTCTGTGCTTGTTTCCCGGGCCCAGAATCGGCATTCCACGGCATGAACCTGCCTCAGTAACACCATGATTTGCACATTGCTGGGACCCATACCTTGTGTGAGGGCTGTGTCCATGTCAATTTCCTCATCACTCTCGTCGCCACGCTGCAATCGCCTCATCGGCTGGTCCTGGTTTTGCTTTGGCATGTCCTGGCTCTGCATATACTCCAGGACAATGCGCGTGGTGTTCATAGTGCTCATAATTGCCGCGGTGATCTGAGCGGGCTCCATGATCCCAGTGCTATGGCGTCTGGTCTGAAAAAAGGCACGAAACTGATGGAGGGACGGAGGGGCGACTGACGACATGGCGTACAAGTACAGGGAATTAAAATCAACAAAGGTGGCTGTGCATCAGGGAGAAACACAAACAACTGTCACACAGAATGGCCCCCCCAAAGATTGAACTCAAAACCCTGGGTTTAGCGGGCCGTTGATTTCACGGAGGGAGGGGGAAGCAAATGAATACATCTATTTTTTACATCTTAAGCTGGCAGCAGACGGTGCAGCATGACTGATAGCCCTCGGCATCTTCTGGGTGCTTGGCAGAAGATACTGTACTACGACTGCTAGCCATCATCGTCAAGACGGTTCAATCGGACTGCCGGCAGGACTGAGTCTCCAGGAGACAAAGCATGTCTGCCCAGGTGCCTCTGATTGAACTGGAATACGACGATGACGGATATCAATCTTAATACACCATCTACTGCCAAAAGGCAAGGGGCTGCTGCTGTGTAGCAATGCAGCCCCACGTCTGCCAGCACCCAGATAGCCGATGAAGGCTACCTGTCATACTGCACCGTCTACTGCCAAAAGGCAATTAGCTGCTGCTGTGTAGCAATGCAGTACCACGTCTGCCGGCACCCAGATGACATATGGTGACGGTGAGCTGAGCTGAGCTGAGTGGGCTCCATGCTTGCCGTGGTATGTTGTCTGCACAGGTAACCCAGGTAAAAAGACGCGAATCGATCGTCTGCCGTTGCTCTGATGGAGGGGGAGGTGCCTGATGGCATGTACCCAGAACCCCCCGCGACACTGTTTTGCATCATCAGGCATTGGGATCTCAACCCAGAATTCCAATGGGCGGCGGAGACTGCGGGAACTGTGGGATAGCTACCCACAGTGCAACGCTCTGGAAGTCGACTCTAGCCTCGGTACTGTGGACGCGGTCCGCCGGCTTCATGCACTTAGAGCATTTTATGTGGGGACACACACAATCGACTGTATAAAACCGATATCTATAAAACCAACTTCTATAAATTCGACCTAATTTCGTAGTGTAGACATACCCTGAGAGTGGAGAGGGAATGAGGGCAGAGCTGGGCTGGGGGTGGAGCAGGGGGTGGAGTGAAGCTGCTTCCAGGACCGGAGCTGGGGAGGGAGCAGAGTGGGGCTGGATTGCGCTCCCTCCTTTCTCTGTGTAGAGGCTGTCCAAGGCCCTGCTCTGCATCTCCCCCCCAAACATTCCTCCACATACCCCTAGGGGGCCCGCCTCACTGTTTGGGGACCATGGGACTAGAGGATCCGGTCATCCCTTCTGGTCTTAAACTCTGTGACTCGATGACTATTGCTTATCAGTTTTTCAAATTAGCTTTTGGTGGGAAATTCATCCAGTTTAGTCATTTCCCACATTTTGTAAAGTTACATTACAAAACAAACCCCTATACACCCTCCCAAAAGATGATAAAAATATGAAAAAAGCATGCTAGCAAACAAATGAAAAAAGGTTTCCTACTGCAACAGTTTTAAAAGTTAAATAAATAAATAAATAAAACTCTATCACAATTAAACAAACTGCCACATGAGACTCCAGAATGGTACAAAATGTTTCTTTTCAGAGGAAGGATAATGACACTTACTTATTTCGTTATCTCGTTTGTCTAAAAATTAAAGAGAAATAAATATATATTTTGTTAGGCATTTCCCTTTTCTTATGTTTTATTTCTCCTTATCATCTATATGACAGTGAAGGCTGAGAGAAATCAACCTCCTCCTCAGGACGTCAGATGAGAGGATCCAGTAGTACCTTCTGATCTTAAACTCTGTGACTCCATGACTCAATTGCTCATCAGTTTTTCAAATTAACTTTTGGTGTGAAATCTGTCCAGTTTAGCACTTCCCCACATTTTACAGAATTACACTAACCCCTCCAAAAAAAGAATAGTAATAAAAAGCAAGAAAACAAACAAAAAGAGGAACATATAGAGGAAACTGAGGCAAACATAGAATTAATAAAAAATGGTGCAGAAAATTCCCACTTCATCACACCTTCATTGACAAGCCAGACATCTATAGATTCTTCTGAAAGACTCTGAGACTGAGGGCAGGTCTGCACTGAAAACTGCCCGGCACACACACACATCTCTGCCCCCACCCTCTATCAATAAATTCACATGAATTCTTCTTTATTTAGGACAAGATCAGCAGGTCTCATGTTCTTTTAATATTAAATTCCAAAATTCCTCTTATTTATTTATTAGAATAAAACCTTTATATACAGTATATTTCTCCCTCTGATATTTACCTTTTATTTTAAAGAGATAAACAGTGAGTCCAATGAAACCAAACAAAACCACCAGAATCACACTGAGAGCCACCATCCAGGAATTCACCCTTGGGAAAAATGGATCTGAAAAAAACCACACCAAGAGCTTGCCTTTGTTTGGAAGTGGTGATGAAAATCAGATGCTTTTATTCCATACAAGTACATAAATAGTACCCAGCAGGATTTCTCTGAGATAAGAGTGAAAGAATGGCCATGTCTACACTTCATAAAATACCAGAAACTGATTTTAAAAATGGCTCCAATCAACACAGTTTTAACACTGATTTATCCTGGAAAAAACAGGCCTGATTTGAGGCATTGCTATTCAGAGAGCCATAGAATTCAGGGGCAAATTCTCTGCTTATAAAACCACACTGATTTCAATAGAGTAACACCAGCAAAGAATTTAATCCTTAGTGTTCAGCAACATTCAGAAATTGTCAGATCAATTCGAATATTTTTGAAAAATCCACTATTACCCTCCAAATATTTGAAGGAATCATAATCACAATTTCTCCAAACAATTCTGTATCAAACTAATTATTCTTAATTTACTGTTGTTTTGTTCACAGTGTTTCAGACATCCACCCAGGATGGAATTTTGGAAATGTACCTAAAGCTTTCTCTGCACAGGGTTTGTGCTCTGATACAGTGAAACTGGAGCAACCCTCTTATGTGGCCATTCTTAAATTGGTTCAAGAGTTGACAACATATGGGGGTTGCACCAATATGAATAAATTGATGCACAAAACCTTAAATCATAAATTGGCTTAAGAGTGCCCTACCTCCATTTAGCTGAAGTTGGTAAGGAATTGACTGGAGCTAAATCTATAAAGGGCCCCCTGAAACTGATATGAGTGTTCACCCAAGCAAGTGTCATCAATTAACTAAATAATCAGTGCAACTTTTGTGTGTAGACAAGGGTAAAATGAGTCCCTTTGTGGATCCAGACCAAAGTGACTTAAGGAGCACAAGTCCCACTGAAAGTCAGTAGAAAGAACAACACATGACTCAGGTGACATTTCACACAAGTAATGAACAAAAGTTGGGGGATCGAGAAGACCACAAAGAAGCCACAGTACAGAATTTACCATATTCAAAAACATCATTAAGGTGGAGTTAAGGTTGCACGAACATACTGTGTCAGTGGATTGCATGAAAGTTTCTTATCAAAAGGTTGGAAGTTTGTGTCTGTACGTGTGTGCATGCTAGAATATTCGGAAAGTCAGACTTAACATTAAATTTACATGTGTGATGTTGTGCAGTCTATATGATTTTATAAAAACATGATAATAAGTGAATATAATGTAACTGGAATAGTTTTATAAAAACATAAGTAAATATAATGTAACTGGAATATGCTTCATGCAAAAGGTCTCTTGTAAGGTATCATTACAAAGCTTATAATCTACTGAGTGTGATCATACTATTTGTATAAATGTACCACTCTTGTATCTAAAACTAGAAATATAAAATGTAACTCTGAGGGCCTATTGTAATTATGGAAAGTGTGGGCCATTAATGGTGGTTTGGAATCTTGATGATTCCCATTAACCAGGACCATTGTCTGCAGATGGCTGTGTTTTACCTGTGAGTCTTCCTGTATGTGTGTGCTGGCAAGTGGGCAATGAAGTCTTGCAGTGACATGTGATCATGTCACCTGAACTGGAATCCAACTTTAACCTAGTGCTTTTCCGGTGGGGGAGGGGGAAACCCAGAGGGATAAAGGGTTCCCGCCTTATGCAAAAGATATATAAAGAGGCGGAAGAGAACAGAGAAGTAAGAGGAGCCATCATGAAGAATCCCCTAGCTACCACCTGAGCTGGAACAAGAGCTGTACCAGGGGAAAGAATTGTGCCCAGGCCTGGAAGGTGTCCAGTCTGAGAAAACAACTTACTGAAGCATCTCTGAGGGTGAGATTATCTGTATTCAGTTTAAATAGACTTAGATTTGTGCATTTTATTTTATTTTGCTTGGTGACTTACTTTGTTCTGTCTGTTACTATTTGGAACCACTTAAATCCTACTTTCTGTATTTAATAATATCACTTTACTTATTAGTTAACTCAGAGTATGTATTAATACCTGGGGGAGCAAACAACTGTGCATATCTCTCTATCAGTGTTATAGAGGGCGAACAATTTATGAGTTTACCCTGTATAAGCGTTATACAGGGTAAAATGGATTTATCTGGGTTTAGACCTCATTGGGAGTTGAGCATCTGAGTGCTAAAGACAAGCACACTTTTGTGAGCTGTTTTCGGGTAAACCTGCAGCTCTGGGACAAGTGATTCAGACCCTGGGTCTGTGTTGGAGCAGACGGGAGTGTCTGGCTCAGCAAGACAGGGTGCTGGAGTCCTGAGCTGGCAGGGAAAACAGGAATAGAAGTAGTCTTGGCCCATCGGGTGGCAGCTCCCAAGGGGGTTTCTGTGATCCAACCCGTCACAACATGAAACCCAAAACTTGGATAGACTGAATACTCACAATGAAGGGAATCAAATTGCTTAAGCTGTGACCCTGTAAAGATACCAGCCTCCCATCTTCTGTGTTTGTATGTGGATTGTGAAATATCCACCACAGACGTTTCAGTTCTTTGTTTTCCTATGTTTTGTTTTGTTTCTGGTGGTGGTGAGTTCAGTGTGGGATTTGGATGGTAACTGACCTGCTATATAAACTGCTGATTCCTTTTCTTGATTGAGAAAGGTGTTCCTGATGCAACAGGACAAGTTTTGGTTTGCATGTTCTGTTACAATGATCGCAGTTTCTGTTTCAAACAGGCCATTATTCCCTCGGGATTTTGTTTCAGAGAGTGATGGTAAATGTCGTCCACTGAGATCTTTCCACAGCACCTCAGGCTCTGGGTACCAACCAGCTGATCGACAAACCATCCGGATCCCTCCATCCTGATGACCCTCAACAGAGATGAGAGTAGCAGAGCCCAGATCTAAAGGGAAAATGCATAAAGGTGTCAATTCCATGAATTAATTTATAAAGCATAAGCAATGAGGGACAGTTTGTGAATCCCTTACTCACACTAGAAAGCACTTATTCATGGAGATAGTCAGTAGAAGGAATAAATGAATACTGGAATGTCTGAAATCCCAATACTCATGGACACAAAAAACGTAAACAAATATTTAAAATAGTGTCATTGAGTCAGTGGGAGATGTTGTTGTCTCAACACAGGAGCAACTGAGTGCTGAGCACCTTTGCAGATATGACAACGTAGATTCCTGAACTTTTGAAAATCTGATCATTAGTGCATTGGATAGATATATTTATTTTTTAAAAAGTCTAACTGGCTTCATGGTTACAGTGTCAAAGCAGCAGGGGAGAAATGCTCAGTCTCATCTAAAAGTGGTAAATACATAATTTCCCCTCCCCACTGTGACATTATACACTCCATTTTCACCATAGTAATATTATCGTGGTATGATTATGATATAAATATGTTGCATCTTATACAAGATGTGTCATGTAAGGTGTCAATGGAAATGTTATGATTTGCTGAGTATGATTATCCTATTTGTATGTGTAACCCCTTTGGGGTTTAGAGAGCATGGCCTCTTTAAATCTTTTTCCTAAGGGGGAGGTGGAGAGTAAGCAAAAAGGAGGGAAACTCCAGGGGGCAGCGCTGGAGCTCCAAGGAGAGGGGGAGGCAGCCTGCAGGCCCTGGAAAAGTGAAGCAGCAGAGAGAACCTGCCTGAAGCCTGGGAAGGACAGGGCCGATCAGGGACACCCCAGGACAGGAGCCAGGAGGAGCACTGTGCCAGGGAGATATCACCCGAGAAGGACAGGCCAGAGCTGGACCCAGTATTACTGCTGCCCAGAGCTGCATGGTGCTGTGAGTACTGGAGCTTGGGAGTCTGCATTGGGAACAAGGAGGGAGGCTGTAGCTAGTTAAGTGGGGAGGTGGTCGCTCTGGGTGGCTTTGCAGAGAGCGGCAGAAGAGGGCACTGGAGGGGTTTGTTGGGGGAAAGTTCACTGGCACCGAAGACGACCAGGAGCACCCAAGACTCACCACCGGACTGGAACTTTGCTCAGGACTTCTGAACTCTGTGTGCAGACACATTGCTCAGTGTCTGCCCTTCCAGACTGTGCTACCACTGGGCCCGTGGGGCCTAGGCTTGGATGCAGCCCTGTTTTACTGCTCCCCCTATATTTCCCCTTGTTGTTTTTCTCCTCTCATCCCTCTGTAAATAAATATTTCCCTTGTTATATCCATGGTACTTTTCCCGTGGGTGGGTGTGTTCACTCTGGGGGGTTTGGAACAGGTGCCCCTGGGGTGGAAGGGATTTCTCCTGCTGCATTCCTGCGCATGCCTTCTCTTGGCCAGAGCTGCCTGCAGAGCAGACTCCATCTTGGCCATGAGGGTGCTAAAGTTACATATGCATGTATCCTTTTTGTATCTGGAGTTATGACTATTGACTATGTATCTATATTTCAAATGTGCTTGTCCCGGGTAACACCCACAACTAGTCAGGTACAACAGTGAAGAAGCTAGACAACGCTAATGGCCAATCAGCAAAAACAATGGGCTATGGAAAAGTCTTGTCCTCACCAGGGGACACTTCAGACAGCCTATGGATAATGGCTGCCATGACTCATCAAGCATGCAGGGGCATGTGACTAGATCACATGATACTGAACTCCGTTTTGGTACCTGTATTTTTCCACAAACTGGGCTGGGAAGCGGGCTTGGAACAAAGGGGTTCCCACCATATGGAAGAAACTATAAAAGGGGGAAATGACATCACCAACAGGCCTCACTTTCCCCACAACCCAACATCTGGATATACCTCTGGAAGAGCACAGACTTTGAACTGGGGAAGTGCTGGTCCCAGGTGGGAAAGAAGGAAACCTGCCTGTGTGTGAAACATCTATAAACTGCTCATATTATCTAACAGGGTGAGACACTGTTTGATTCAAATCCTGTGTAGTATATTAGGCTTAGATTATGCTAAGTAATCTGCTTTGGTCTGTTTGCTATCACTTATATTCACTTAAAATCTCTATCTTTCTGTCATTAATAAATCTATTTTATATTTTTTACCTAAAACAGTGTGGTTTGAGTGAAGTGTTGGGGGAAAATCTCAGCTCAGTTAACAAAGGTTTTGTGCATATTCCTCTCCACATCGAGGGAGGGGCGAATTGGGTAATTGTAATAATCTTTACTGGTCAGGCTTTTGACCAGGGCAGGACGGTACAGCTCCAGGGTCCTAGGTTGGGCAGCTGGGGGGGGGGGGGGGGGGCTTTGGCTGAAGCCTCGCTATTGTTGGTTCATGAGTGCCTGGACAGATGCATTCATGAATACAGCTGGGTGTGGTCCCTGCCTGTGGATGCTGGTGTGAGTGCAAGTGTGGAGGGCTTTGCAGCTTGTCACAACATCACAGTGCAAGAGGGAACCCAGATTGGTGAGACAGAGGGCTCTGCTGTACCCCAGTTCCAAGTGGCACCCCGGGGAGAACCCATCACACCCACGACAATCATCACCATTATACAGTCTCAGCAAATAAAAACACTGCATTTGATTTTAACTACACCCCGAAGCAACAACCAACAGTGAACCGATGAGAATGCCATAAAAGTCTGGCATTCGCACCTTAGCCACACATCCTAGAAATGACTGCAGAGCAACTGGAAGGCCACATTTGTGCATAAGTCCTTTTCCTCTTAACTAAAGACTACTTTGGGGGCAATTAATATTGGGCAAGAAAGTGCCTTGGCCATCCTGAAATGTTTTTAGTAACATGTTGGGAAAGTTTCCAGCATATTTTCTCTAGTATGAAAGTGGCTGTTTGCTGAAAGTTAGATACACTGTGTTATTGTAAAATATTTCACAAGCAGGGAGTTACAGTTGTTATAATAGGAAAGAACAAAGCCTGCAAACTGCACAAAGTTAAAACTGTCACAAGCCTCTGACCTGCTACCCGCAGTTCCAATACGGTTTCTTCATAAAAAGTATCATCTTGAACAAAGCAGTGGTATTGTCCTTCATCAGAGCGTCTGATATTGAGAATCCTCAAGGAAACATTCCCATCTGTGAGTCCGGCTTTCAAAAGCTCTGTCCTTCCCTGATACTGTGGCATCTGCCCATCATACTGATCCTTCCCACGATACAGGTGCACAATGGATAAATACTCAGATCGGAACCATCTCACCTCCATGTTTGCAGCGCTCATCCTGGGGGACAGGTGACAGGGTAACACAGCTTCCTGACCCAGGATGGCAGTGACAGGGTCATGGGGTCCAATCACTGTGAACTGTGCTGGAAAATGCACCAGGACAATAACAACAAAAAGCAGCTCAGAGGAAAGTGGGAATTTGATATGAAGGACACATCCAACAGGTTCCATTTCAGACAAACTTTCCAAAAAGTTCAGGCAGAGGCAGACACTTGACATGGAACATTTCAGCCTGAATGTTTGAGAGAGAGCAGCGCTCATGGGCAGCAGGACTGGGGCTCTGTTAGAAGAACACTCAGCCTCAGTGTATGGCACAGGCACACAGCACTGAGATGGGGCGTGGAGCTGATAACAGGCAAGTTTGGTGCATGGCTCAGGCACAGAGCACTGGGCACAGTGGGGAGGTGAGAATTGGTACAGGCACGCAGTGCTGACACGGGGTGGGAAGCTGAAGACAGCTGTATTCAGTCCATGTCACAGTCACACATCAGAGAAACTGAGGCAGAGAACTGGGAATGGACGTGCTCAGTGTATAATTGAGACAAACACTATTCAACAGCCTGTTTTTGTAAGTGCTCTCAAATTGACACGCTTACCAACATTGCCATGAAATTTGCTGGGCCTCACCGGGAATAAGGGTAGGGTTGTTGGGCCACATTTGGTGTTGTTCCTGAGACATAGCCATATTGCTAGAGCCAATTTTTGGACTATTATGGTTCAATACTTCACATGCTCAAGAGACCAAATAACCAAACTTAGCGAAAATTATTGCCTAAAGACAAAACAGTAAACTACAAAAAGGAGACATCTGTACCCGCCTCCTGTAAAGCAATTTTTATCTTGCAGTGTGCTGACCTTACACACAAGGTGTGCTTGGAAAATACACCCTAAACCAACTTATACTTATACCGTGGCTGTTTACAAGTGAGAAAGCACTTTAAACATCACCTAAGATCCAGCCCACCAGTTTCTTAACTTCTTGTTCTGTACCTTCCTTAACCCTGTTTTGGATACCAAGTTCCAAACCAGGTGGGTGTAGAGGTACATCCCAACCAGTGCGAGGACACACCTTTCATGGCTTTGCTAGGCTTCCTATTTTCTATTGTGAATACTAACTTCAGATTTTAAAGTGTTGTGGGATATTAGATATTGGTGAAGAGAATTGTGGGAAAAGCATAATACATTCAGTTAACTTCCCAACACTCTCTCTCTCTCTCTTTCTCTGTAATGTATATTATAAGACTACCGTGCACATAATGCCTAATCATATGGTGTATACTGCACCTAACATATATGTATTAGCTAACAGGCCCAATTTAAAAAAAGTACGTGTGTGAAGAAACAGACCTGGGCACTATCCCAGAAGCAAATAAAATAACCCAGCAGCAACACAATCAGGGCAAAAAATGAATAATGAAGGTGCTGATCTTGCTGTGTGGTTAAGTTTACACACTGTGAATAGTTACATTGACTTTGAGTGGAGCATGTTGTTAAGACACTTCAGGGGCCTAAATAAATCCTCTAAGAAACAGCAGACACAGGGCGGATTCCTACCTGATTCCATCCTGTGAACATAACAAATAAGGAAGAAAACAATAAAACCAGGGAGAGGGGAGCTGGCTCTGGAGCTGTGGCAGAATGAGAGAATCTTCATCTTCACTGTAACTTGATCTAGACAACAGGAAGGAGGAGAAAAAAAACTCATCATAGTGAGCATAACACTGAGTAACATTAAATCACTAAAGTCAAAATTAAAGAGGCCACATTAAATAAAAAAGGGACAAATGCATTGTTAAGTGAACTCTTTCATGTTATGGAGTGAGAACAGCCATTCAATTACAGTTGAAAATGTGTTTCCTTTACAACTCTGATTTTGTCCAATCTCTACAAAATCCACATTAAAAAAAAGTCAGACCAGTGTAAAAGTTGGTAGTGATTCCATCAATGGAGAAAAAAAAGTTTTAAGAAATGAGAAAGTGTGTGTGTGTGTGTATGAGAGAGAGAGAGAGAGAGAGAGAGAGAAAGATTCTTGGGTGGTTTTTTTTACCCATTTCTTTTCTTTCAAAATATCCAAGGCAAAATGATTCAGTCCCATAAACAAAGTTATTCAGTAACAGGGAACACAAAGACACTTCCCATAAATTCGGATTTACAAGAGTTTGTAACTTACTTTACAAAACAGAAATATACAATAAGTTAATACATAGCAAATCTCCCTTTGAATGCATTGAGAGCAGGATCAGGTCCAGTTTTCTTGAATAAAGTATAGGAGCAAAGAAATAAATTCTTAAACCAAATAACCAGAATAGTCTGGAGTTACACTACAATGAAAGGAGAGGGAAAAATAGCTCATATATCATTTTGAATATATAGTTCAAAAGCAAACTTTATATTCAGAGTAAGACACATTTATCCTGGGATTATTGGATCATTTTGCAGGTAATAATTCACACAGGGAATAAATGTCTACTAGGCGATATCAAAGAACAAGGGAGATGGTATTCAAGTGACAGAAGCTCACTTACCTGACACATCCTGGAAATAAGCTTTGGAACAGTTTTGAGCTCTCTCTGGTGTTCCCAGGTTTTCTAAAATCCTCATCCATTCTCCTCTAATTAGTTTACATTGTCAGTGACTCGTTCAGTGATGAGACTGCAAAATTAATTCTTAGTAAGAAATTACAGAGACAAAGAGCTGAATCCTGGTCTTTCCTTCCGTATTTCTGCCAATATGGCGTTTATTTTTTGTTGGACGCTGAAGTGAAATGTGTCTCTCTCGATGCCGTCACCAAGATAGAAAGCGAAAGTAGAAAAGGAACTGCAAAGCTATGGTGATTTCAGTCTGTATCACAGGGCCGGATTAACTTTTTGTGGGCTCGGCGCCAAACATATTTGTGGGCCCCCATTGGGGAAATAGGGCATGTGATGGGGGGCGGTCCACAGAGTGAGGGGCCAGTTGGGAGCAATGAGGTGCAGCATAGTGGGAGTGGCCCCACTCAGCCCAGCACAAGGGCACTGTTTACAAACCCACAACTGCTAGATGCACACTGGCCCACCCAGCCCTGCCCCCCTGCCCAGTGCCCTGCCCTTATGCCCAGCACCCCCTCAAGCAGAGACCTCCCCCAAAGATCCCTATGCCCAATGCCCCCAGACCCGCTATGCCCAGCACCCTCTGCCCAGAAACCCCTCCCGCTGACCTCCCACCACAACTGCTCAGCACCTTGCACACTCTGCCCAGCTCCCTCACCCACAGATCCCCTACTCTCCAGCACCCCCTTCACAGTCCCACCATCACAGCTGTACAGCGCCCCATATTCCGACGGGAATTCTGCATCAAATTCTGTGCATAATATTTTTAAATTCTGCACTTTTTTTTTACAATAAATAAATGTGGAAGCTCCACCATGGCAGTGGGGAGCACAGGCCACTGAGGTGGGAGATTACCCTGCAGCCTCCCCCGCCCACCTGGGACAGGGACTTGGCAGTGAGGCTGAACCTGACCCTGACACAGCACAAGGGCCAGGCCTGCCCCAGAAACACCCTGGGGCCCTGCTCCTTTTGCGCCAGGCCCACCAGATGTGAGCAGGGAGGCTCAGCCTGGCAGCAGGATCCAAGTGCAGAGGGACTTAGTGTGGGGGGATCCAGATGGGGGTAAGAGGGGTCTGTGAGGGGTGGTAAGAGGGTTCCATGTGGGGCAGTCTGGGTGCAGGCATCTCAGTGGGGGATCTGGATGCACAGGGAGGTGCCAGTGCACGGGCAATGGGAGTTGGCACGGGGGACCAAGTGAAAGTGGTTGGAGCTCAGCAGGGGGGAGGGGTCTGGGTGCAGGAGAGGTGGGGTTCATTTGGGTGGGGGTCCAGGTGTAGGTGGTTGGGGCTCAGTGGGGAGGGTGTCTGGGGGGGCTCATCGGGGTGGTACAGATGCAGGGGAGGTGGGGCTTGTCAGGGTGAGGTTTGATGGGCCTGCTTAACAGGGGAGCCCCAGCTACTGCCAAGGGGATCTGCATGCTGGGCCCCCGCTTCCCCTATCCCCTTCTCTTCCCCATCCCACCATAGGTGCTGACTTTTGGTTTTGCCAGTGGGCAGTTAAGGCACAGGCCTGGGGGCCAGGTGTTCTGGGTTTGGTCTCTCCTCTACCACAGACTCCCTGCTTAGCCTTGGGAAAGTCATTTCACCTCTGGGTGCCCTAGATCCCACCTGCCAAATGGGGCTAATGCTGACCCTGCCTCCTAGGCTAAATCCATTAATGGCTGTGTCATGATGGGGGAAACGAACATACCAAGGTTGGTAAATTTGGGCTTAATTTCTCCAGAGCCTGAGAATGAGAGCCAGCTCCACATAGGGGGAATGGGAGAGAGAGGGGCTCAGGCCAGCTCCGCACAGAGTGGGGTCAGGGCTTCAGCCCCTCAGCTTCTGCCACTAAGGCAGCTGGGGGCTTCAGCGCCGCATCTCCTGCCGGGGTCGGGGCTTTTCCTCCCCCTCTTCCAGCACAGCTCCTGCTGGAGTCGGGGCTTCTCCTCCTCCCCCCACCCCCAGCGCAGCTCCTGCCAGGGTCGGGGCTTCACCTCCTCCTCACTCCCTCCCAGCACAGCTCCTGCCGGGATCGGGACTACTCCTCCCCCCACAGCGCAGCTCCGGTTGGGGCTCTTCCTCCCCCTAAACTACCACTGTACCCACCAGTCCTAGGCTAGCTGGGCTCACTTGGGTCATCTGATGGCTGCTGTGGCCAGAGTGGAGCCTGAAAACCGACAGGTGGACGTCATGGCCACCACCCCAAGAGGGGTGGGGCTGGGGCGGAGCAGGGGTGGGGGCTTTGGGGAAGAGGCAGGGTGGGGGCAGAGCAGGGGTGGGGGCTGGCCAGGGCCCCTTCTGACTCTGGGCCCAGCGCCATGGTAAACCCCGGAACTGACACACACACACACGCACACACACACACATACACATACAGACCACACACAGCACATAGTATCCCAGGATCATGAAGCAGCAGACAAAAGTTCACATTCCCCAGGGTGGCAAAGCAATCATTCACAAGAGTGACATGTGAAGGAAATAACCTGTAATAAAATATAAAGAGAAACTGATTTAAGAAATAAGCAGGGTGTGAGCTGTAGTGAAAATAAGAAAATAGTAAGGACTGTAAAACAACATCTCTGGACAGCACCCTCAGGCATACAAGGGGAATGACAGGAATGGAGAAATTGTCAGAGCACAAAGGGACTGTAAGCCAGAAGGGAGCAGAGGGATAGAACCCAACACATCACACTCAGGAATACGTGGCTTTATTTAAGCTGGAACTCAGAACAGGAAACAAAGATCACACAAGAAGATTCCTTGAGACAAAACTAAACGTCCTCCAAACTCTGGGCTGACAGACGCTGGAAACTGTGAAACTGCAGAGTGAACGTGTATCAGTGGGGGCATGAGGGAGGGCAGATTGTTCTAGTCCATTGGATTTTCTAATTCTGTTAGTTCATAAATATAAATTGTTACCTATAAAGAGACTTTAATTAAGCGGTGAGGAGGGCGGTGGAGGAGAGGAGAGAGCAGTGGGTGGAGGGTGTCAAAGTTAGAATCTGGACTCACAATTTGTTATGACCACTCCGTTTATTGACACAGCGCTATGCCAACATATACAGATGATAAAGTGAGTCCCATGCAAGACCCAAACTGTGCTATTTATACAGATAGAAGGGCGTGAACTAAACAAAGGGACAAAGAGAGCAACATTGTAAAGTTTACCTGGGGCACAACATGCATATCCTGCTTCCTAACTAACTCTTATCGATCTAAGGCTAATACTTCACCAATCACTCTTAATACCTTAATGTCTGCTTTCCTGACACCTGGATCGCAGCATTCCTCATTTCTACTTAAAGGCACATACAGCATTTCTTTAATCCATTCTATTTCTTTAATATAATTCATTTCACTTTCACAAGGGGACTCATGGGGGAGAGGGTGGAGGAGAAGAGGGACGTGGCGAGCGGCGGGAGGGGGGCCTCGAGGGGGAATGGAGGAGAGGAGGAACGTGGCAAGAGGCGGGGACCTCCAGGTGTGGGGGTGGAGTGGAAAAGAGGAGGGAGTCAGCAAGGCAGCTGGGTGGACTTTGGGGAAGGGGCAGAGAAAGGAAGGGAAGAGGCAGACTGCAGGTGGTGTGACCCTTGGCCTATTATACCCACCGCCTTTTGGAGACTGGGCCGTGGACTTCCCCTCGTACCTGCTGACACTCCAGCACCTAAAACACTCCCCATAGAAAAGTATGGGCACCTACGTCTGCGCCAGAGAAAATGGACAGCTTTGAAATCTGGAATGGTGGCCACCCATGATGACCTAAGTATCGCGATTGCCAGTGTATGCAAACACAATGCTCTTTACTTGTCCCCCACTCCAACCCCCAGTTGTTTCTTTATCCACCTGCTGCAGATCGTCTTTGTTAGACTGTGACTGTGAGCTCTTTCTGCCGGACTTGTCTGTACGGTGCCTGGCACAACAGGCCCCTAATCTCTCATTGGGGCCCAGAGATGCCACTGCAATAGAAATCAGTGCATTCTGTTGATTATTATTATTATTATTATTTATTATTATTATTAATGTCAACATGGAAACTTTATGGGCACAAGGTTTCCACACTGAAATCTACGGCCATAATTTCC